GAGGCTAGGAGGGGGTTATTTACTATAACTAGGGGCAAGGAGATGTAAAGAATGAGAAACTTTAAAATGAAGAACAAAGAACAGTAGAGCTGAACATAATGATACATTGGTTCTTTGAAGAGGATCTCAGAACTCATTGTACTTAACAATTTACAGGCTAAAACCTTTGAAGAGGAATTTATTATATCCTATAATCTTATACTTGGCCTGATTATCTGCATAAAGTGCAGCAAGAATGGTTATTTTTACTTACATAGGACTTTTGGATTGGCTTTAATGAAACTCTGTTTCACAAGGAATTTCAGATAAGACTTTTAAAGCTGAGCCCAGCCATGGGTTTGCATCCTCTAACACCTGTGAATTGGGTGATCCTCTGCTCTTGAGGTCCCAAGATAAATGCAGAGCTTCCAGACCTGTTAGAAAGTTATGTGTCTGTTCTTTTACCGATACCATGCTGTTTGGTTACTGTGGCCCTGTAGTGTAATTTGGAATCAGGTAGCGTGATGCATGCAGCTTTATTCTTTTTGCTTGGGATTGCCTTAGTTATTTGGGCTCTTTTTTCATTCTGTATGAATTTTAACATAGTTTTTTCTAGTTCTGTGAAGAATGACAATTGTAGTTTAACGGGGATAGCACTGAATCTATAAATTGCTTTGACTAGCATGGCCATTTTACGATATTGATTCTTCCTATCCATGAGCATGGAATGTTTTTCCATTTGTTTATGTCATCTCTGAGTTCTCTGCACACCGGTTTGTAGTTCTCCCTGCAGAGATCTTTCACTTCCCTTGTTAGCTCTCTTCCTAGGTGGTTTATTCTTTTTGTGGCAATAGTGAACGGGAGTTCGTTCATGAATTGGCTCTCTGCTTGCCTGTTGTTGATATATAGGAATGCTAGCAATTTTTGCACTTTGATTTTGTATCCTGAGACTTTGCTGAAGTTGCTAATCAGCTTAAGAAGCTTTTGGGCTGAGATGATGGGGTTTTCTAGATATAAGATCACGTCATCTTCAAACAGGGATAGTTTGACTTCCTCTCTTCTTATTTGAATGCCCTTTTTTTCTTTCTCTTGACTGATTGCTCTGGCCAGAACTTCCAATACTATGTTGAATAGAAAAAATATAAATTTTAAAACATAAGTATTTTTAAAACTTTTAAGTTCAACTTACCAGTCATATAATTCTCATCATAAACCTAGTGAATGTTAACATTTTTTAGAAACAGGGTCTGACTATGTTGCCCAGGCTGGTCTTCAACTCCTGGCTTCAAATGATCCACCCACCTCGGCCTCCCAAAGTGCTGGGATTACAGGTGTAAGCCCTTGCACCCAGTCAAGGGGGCTTTAATTAATAATTGGTTGGTCTTCTTTTCAAAATTAAAACTGCTTTAGGCAGCTTATACTGCAGTTGTTCATTCAATATATTTTATTTCTTTTTTTAAAGCAATTGATTGATAAACCAGCCTCCTTAATACCCTTACTGCAAACTAATAAAAGTAAACATATAAATACAGTAAATCTTAATTTCTTTTTTTTTTTTTTT